AAGATGTGCTTTTCTGGCCTGTTAAAAGGCTATTGTCAATAGTTAAGAATGTCAAGCTGTAGAGACATCCATGTGGTCTTGAAGATCCGTTTGAAATTGCAAGAGTAAAGGTTTGACAAAACACCCATAAATATTACGCTAATTATATTCCGAGTGCTTCGGAACATGGCGCATACCCGCTTTACCAGTCAAGTATTAAGAATCGTTGCGACTCTTGACAGCGAAAACTGTTCCGGTTATACTTATCCAGGAGACTTCTAGCGTGCTCGACTTAATTTTTAGAAAAGTCTGACGAGTAATGGTGTTTTGGTTCCATACAAAATCGCACCTCAATACACTCGAAAAAAACAAATAATATTACTACATAGACAAACGTTGTTCAAATTGTGCCGTGTTTGGTCTTATTTTGATCAGGAGAATCTCACAATTACATTGGTAAAAGTAATATTTAGCAAAACCAAAAAATAGAAAAGTTTTACTGTTGCATTAGTGTTGTCACATCGATACGTCGGTTCGGATTACTTTACATGCGTTGCTCGCTCGTCAAGTGTCAAAATTCAAGGGGAAACCCCCTAAGTGGTGGGGATAGTAACGTTGCAATTATCCAGTCCATCATTTGTCGCAGTTATCCAGTCTTTACTGTATATTGCAATAAACTAACATTTGACTTTAGTTCCGGATAACATAATATTAGTAAGCTTGATGTGTATTGATTGATTTGTTTAACTAATAGGTTTTAATAACTAATAATGTCTTAATTGTAAAATGCATTTCTATCCTTCTCTAAGATAACGCGAGAATACTAGGAAATTCGGGGCGAGCATCGCGGCACGTAGGCACATAGCATTACGGAATTTTCCATATAGAACTATACATTTATTACCGACAGTGTACTGAATTCTTATGATACTTGATTTGTCTAATGTCGCGGTCGGTAAGAGAAAAATACAATCGATAATTGAAGAAATGACACCGGAATAAAAGTTTGAAAATTCTTCAGGGATGTTACAAATGCATCAACATGTATTCAACATTTGTTTTAGAATTTCCTCCCTAACTGTTAAGATTTGGTTTTCATAGTGTTTTTATTTCAAATAAAATTTCAATTTATAAAACATATATTTTTGTTCACATATTTACAAATCTAATATGTTAAATTGACAAAAGCTAATCAGTCATAGAATAGACTAGTGTGTTCATGCGTGTTTACTGATGTTCACGTGAATTCCTTTTTTTCTCGGAACTGTACATTATGAATTATTTTATTTCACCACCAATATTCTATATAAGCTATGTAGTCCATGATAGACCATTTTTTACTGTTTACTCAGTAACTTAAAATAAGCAGTACTTGATTGTCGTTTTGGGAGTATACGCGATCATTATGAAAATAATCATATTTTGCGTAAATGCAGCTTCATCAATGAATAAACTGCAAGATACGACATTCAGACTTGGAACACATTTTGTATCGTCGAAATCTTTCCAACATGGAGAAATTTCGTGTTTCAAGGAATAGATGAATTCGATTGAGGAAGAGGGTAAATAAAAATTGTTTAGACACAATTGAGCCTGAAAAGTCGTGATCGTTTATTGGCTCTAGCGATTCGAATTAGGGGAAAAAGCCTTGCGGCATAAAAAACCCCTTACAA